AGGTCATGTCTCTTGGATCTGCCTGGACTATGGGCTCTGGAGAATCAGGGAGGCTGATTGGGTCAATCATCCATCACCCTCTTTACCATTTGTTAAGTAGGAATGGAAGTCCAATTAACTCGCTGAATTGAAGACTGATCATTTTTCCTAACAATCTCTCATAAAAATGAGAGATAAATACATGGTATGTCTACTTGATAAGGGGAGCAAACATTTTAGTCAAACATTAAAATCTATACTCAACACACAAAGTTCTAGTTTTCTAAACAACCACCATCTACTACACCATAATATGACTACATTTTGCCTTGCTTTACTGGTCCCATGGCTGGTATCTTAACTTATGTAGAAAGAGGAACTCATGAGAAATCTCTGCCTCATTAGCAGAAATGATCAGAAACAGCTCATTCTCTGGCTGTTGGAATATAGTACAAATTGGCTTCCAGGAACATCCCAGTCTACATAGACAGATTTGTGTTGTTGCTGAGCAAAATTACAGAAATTTGCAAAGTATTGATGGTCAAAGCTAAAATGCCATTTCTAAGGAACTGCGATTGGATGTTCCTAAGAAAATTTCCCCATCTCTTTCTGAGTCAACTCCCTGATTAGCAAACACAGCTTTCCCTAATACTTGTCATTTATTTAAAATGCCACTCTTGTTGGGTACTGGTTGGCTCATATCTATTCTAGCTGTTCAGGAGGCAGAGATCTGAGGATTGTGGCTTGAAGCCAGCCCAGGCAGGAAAGTCTGAGATTCTTACACCCAAAAATTAACCACCAAAAAGGCTAAAAGTCAAGCTCAAGTGGCAGAGCACCAGTCTTGAGCAAAGAACACTAATGGACAGTATCCAGGCCTTGAGTTCAAGCCCTGGCACTGTCACTATTAATGAAAGTTCTAAGTGATAGCTGCTTATGTTTAAAGGTGGGTTTTTTTTAATTAAATAGATGGCCAAATGAAAGGGAGTTAGGATAAGGAACTGATGTTAAAAAATAGAGAAAAGTAAGTAGTCAGCCTAATAGTTTGAGAAATAACTCAACTGCCAGCCTATATGCCCAAATTGGGATTTATGATGTGTAATTTGGGTGCAGTGACACCTTGGATCCGATATGTATTTGTGCACCTTTCTTCTCTAATCTTGCCTGAAAGGGATGGACAGATGTTGGGGTTTGGATAGCAATATTCCAAAGCATGAGGTTCTGATATGCAGAGCTGGGGATACATTCTCAGAACTAAAGTCTCTGAGCTTTCCCCAACCCTGTCTGTGGGCCACCTTTACTTCTCCTTCAGCTCCCAAGTTTAGGGAAAACTTTGTTTGAAGATGGCTTATGTGATCAAGGGACATTTCCTTCCTAGAAGGAATGCAATTGTTGTAAAACCTCATTAACTAGGAATGACTACTCCCTCCCCACCAAACACAGAGTGGAAATAAATGATCACATCATGGTCTCTTCTCTGAGCTCACTCATTTCCCCTTAAAAAAATCTAAAGTACCTCAAAAATTCTACAGCTCCCCTCCCTAAAGAGAGTTATAGTTTGGATTTGGAATGTTCCCTAAGGACCCATTTGTTAAAGACTATCACCAAGCTGTGGCACTATTGGAAGGTGATGGGATCTTTTGGAAGAAAGGTTCTAGTGTTCTTTGCTTCTTAGTTGCCATGAGATGAACAGGTCTCCCCTTGTGTGATGCCACAGACCCAAAGCAACAGGACCTTAAACAGCCACAGACGAAACCTCTATCCCCATGAGTCAAAATAGATCATCCCTCTCCATCAGTCAATTCTCTCGGGTACTCTGTCAATGATGGGATGCTGAGTAACACAGAGCACTGATGTCTCAACCATCTGGCCTTTCGATGAGTTTCATGTTTTAAGTGGCTCCCACACACATGGGCTCATTAACACATTCATAGGCTTTTTCTCCTTTTAATCTGCCTGTTGTCAGTTTATTTCAGCAGACTGAATGACTCGGACCTTCAGAGGGGAAAGGCAAACTTCCCTTGGCCTCTCCAAAGAGGAGCAGATCCTCTGAGTTAACATTGTTTTTGGTGTAGATGCCCCCTCCCATGTCCTTCGTGTGAATTATTTAATGAAAGCAACAAGGATCACTGCCAAACCTATTTTGTTGAATTTTTTTGTTGCTTGCTGATTTTCTCCTGGAATATTTGAGAGTTGGGTAGTGGAGTTATTTGTTGTGGGGTGAGGGGGAGAGATACTATCTATAAGTTTGACAATTTCAGGCACTGCTTTCCATTCTGGTTTTTCATTCCCTGTAATGACAGACCAAATCAGCTCTTTCTGAAAGCAAGATTTAAGCTGGTAATTTCGTATTTAGCATTAGAAAGTCACCTCACCAACATAGACACTTGCTTTCATGAGATATGTATTAACTATTGGAGACTGATGGCTCCCATTTTCAACTTGGCCTTGGCACAATTTTGTTTCACCTAACTTGCTGTGAGATAACTGAGGCACTGTCCTGATCTTGAAGTTTCCTTCCTGCCTGGCCAAATAGTTTCTGAGGCATAGTGGGAATCATGTCTGTGTTTCTGCCACTGTGCTGAAGTGCAAAATATTCTAAGAGTGGCATTTTTCAAGTTGCTAAATCAAGAAACTTGATGTTGTTAAGAGGATAGGACAGTGCAGTGAGATTTACCATTCCCAGAAATGGGATTGAGGAGCATTATGATTAACTTCATGAGCACTTAAGGGACCAGACACAGATCAATTATCTGTGCACACAGCTCCATTCCCTGAGCACAGGAGGCTCTGGTCTCTCCAAGTCTGTGTCTTTTATGACCCAGTTGGGTCCCACTACATTCTTCCAGCCACATTTGTCTCTCAAATTTTTGAATTCTTCTGACTGGTTTGCTGGTCATGAGTTCCTCAAGCAGGGAAGAGATGAGAAAATATCACTTTTGCTGAATAGAGCTCTCCTGAAAGAACAAATTCATCAATATTTCTCTTTGTAGCTGTATGATTTGTTTAGACTTTCAGCCAAAAGAACACATTCAAAACAATCAAAAATAATATCCAAATATTCAATTTCTCCTCTGGTGTTTCTCAAATAGCATAAATAAAAATGTTTCAAGTCTTCAGACACACTCCTTCAGCCCCATTATCTCCACTGCCAGCAGGAGAATCATAAGTTTAAGGCCCACTTGGGCTACGTAATGACTACCCTTCTGTCATACAAAAACAAAAAAAAGTCTCTACACTCTCTGCAACCCAACTTCAACTAATGAAGAAAAATACGCATTACGAAAGATTTGGCTTTGTTACCTGATTCTATAAAGGATGAGTAGCTGGCCTCCATGATTTTGTCCTGCCCCTTTATTCCCCTTGATTTTTCCATCAGAAAATCCATTCCCTAGACTCAGCACTGTGGTTCAGACAAAGCCAGCCACACATCCCAGCTCTGAGATGGCCATATGGCCCAGGCTTGGACAACTGGTCCAGATATGTAGGGAGGTCAGAGTAGGACAGTTGTTCATTATATCTTCTCTATTCTCTCTCTCTCTCTGTCTCTCTCTCCCTCCCTCCCTCTCCCTCTCTCCCTCCTTCCCTCCTTCTCTTTCTTATTTAACTCCTTCTTTTTCTCTTTCCTTCCTTCCTTCCTTCCTTCCTTCCTTCCTTCCTTCTTTCTTTCCACCCATTTCAGGGTCAGATTCTCATATCAAGGGATATGAGATTACCACCATCAATAAGGCAGGAGAGGGAAACTAGCAGATTAGTACATGTCATTGGACAGATACTGATATAATCCCATATTTCTCAATCTATAAAACACCCCTGAGAACTTCCCAAGAAGAGAAACTACAATTCTACTTGTCCACTGCTATAGATTTTGCTTCCCTGAGTATGCAGTCTTTGCCAGCTTGCATATCTATTGTGTGGCACAACTGGACATACCTTGATTTCTGTTTGTTCTTGGGATGAGCAGGCCCAGACTCCTTGTCCTCCATTTGAACTCCTCCTTCAGACATGCTGATCTGGTCTATAGGCCCCTGAGATAGGTGGTCTGACTGCTTGCAATTGTCATTTGAACATGTTAGGAGAAACTCTGTCTCATTAGCCTTCTGTGCACTTTCAATGGTCTAAGAACAGTCATTTGCCCTAGTAATGGTGTGATGGTATCTGGGGAGAAACAAAGAATGAGAAGCAGGGCATCTTTCCTCAGGGTGGCAGTGATGGAACCTGCAAGTGACCTGAGAGACCATTGTGAGTTCAGGGACTGCATCACTTAAGTCTTACAGAACAACTACAGCAGAGAATGAGAAACTTAGATGCAAAGGCCTGGAGGGAGCCAAGGATCCTGTCCTCTCCTCTGACCCTTGTGGATACTACGTTGAGGACCTTTTACACAGTGATGCTATGAAGTAGAGACCGTTAGTCCCAGGGTTAAGACTTCAAGTTGTTGCACCACTGCCTTTCTTTTGTTTGTTTTTTTTTTCATTTTAAACACGAAGTTTGCTTAAACAAGAAGATGCTTGACTTGAAGGGAAAACTATCAAGGATTCTTAAGAGTAATTTATACCTACTTAAAAGCAGATTGCCCTACATGTAACAGCTACATACAAAAAAGTTATAAAATTGTCCTCGGTTTTACAATGATAAATGAAAACATAAAAATTCTCCAATCAAGAAACGTATGTGAGGATTTTTTTGTTAAAACAGTGAGAGCAAAAGAAATTACTGAAATATAAAGATAAAAGCTGACTGAGCATGGCACTAATGGAGAAGGGGGATATTTTCACAGGACCAGTATTTTTCCTCATTCCATCTCCATTTGATGTCAATCAAAATACACCATTGGCCATTTAGTTTAAAATAAAAAAAAAGAAAAGAAAAAAGAAAAGCAATACGCTTGTGCACATACACCAGATACTTTATATACGATAAAGAAATGGGGAAGGTGAAAATCAAAGAATAAACTATACTGTAGTAATCAGGATGTGGTGGAACCAAATTGCAGTTTTCTAATTAAGAATGTATTCTCGGTCTATAAGAACAAAGTTCTGGAGCAAAGTAGCAGGTTCCCTTTTTTAGTAGACACCTCCTGTCTGCTGCTGGAACACATCAATTGTATCTCCATCCTCCATTTCCAACTGTGCAGGTGTGTCTGTGTCATTGATTAGCTACCCATCAAATCGGAATCTGATCTGCCTCATTGACAAACCCTGTGGTTCACAATAGGATTTCATTAATTTAATAAGTGGTGTGTGCTTCTTCGTCTTAAACTGCACCACAGAACCATCCTGCCCCACCACCTTCAAATTAATATGATTGTTGTTCTCAGTCTTGACTCCTTCCTTGTGCTTTTTGTCGGTCATCGTGAGCCCGGGAGTCTCCTCAGATGTTGCTTCCCAAAAGAGGTCCCGGGTCTGCACTGAACCAGCACTCAGGCAGCGGCTGGAGGAGGTCGAGCCGCTGCTTTTCTCTAAGAGGCTTCTCTCTATGCCCCTTGACGTCCTTTCATCCCCTAACTGATGTCACCTTCGTTTGTTCATTGAGTTAGCCAGTCCAAGTTCATCAAAGAGAATCCGGGGTGGATTTGGATGGTAGCAAATTGGCTTAGCTGAAACTGGGCTTCCCAGAATCCCTTTCTACATAGACTCAAGTGATGATGGGCTACAGGAGACATCCTGGGTGAGATTTGGAAGATGAATGCTGCAACAGGAGCCTGGGTCACCACACATCTGCAATGTGTTTCTCTGGGTGTCAAGTGAGCGATATAACAAACAGCCTTTCAACCAGCCTTTGAGCTGTGCATACATGTTGATGAGCACAGCGAGAGCAATAAGGCCAACCACCTTCTAGGTGTCCTCAAAGTTGAGGTTTCTTCCTTCTGGAGAAGGTGTCTGTATCAGGTAGGATACTGAAATCCCATTACATGATGATAGCAATCACCTTAACAATGATATGTAGGGCAGGGAATATCTTTACAGTACATGGAAGATTTTGCCATGATCAGTTTTGTTAAAAAGTCATAATGATGTAAATGACTACTAATGTAAAAGAAAAATATTACATTGAGAAAAGAGGGTTGAGAGATTTATTAGGCTGAAGCCTTACCTTGCATAGCCAGGAACTGATAGTGTTTAAAACAGATAAGTCAAAAACGTATGACCTTGATTATGTTATTATTATTTTTTTTAGTGAAGGAAGCATTTTTCTGGTTTGAAGAAATGTTGAAAGTAAGTGGTTTTGGATAGCATAACCTGGAGATAGGAGATTGTGGTTTTTTTTGTTGTGTTTCAGGATATAGTCATTTAAATCCAGACCTTAAAAAAAATAAGGTCCAGATCTATTCTTAGTATAGAATTGTGGAAATATGATGACTAGAATTTGGACAGAACATTTAAGAGCTCCCCTGGTATAATTTCAATTTGTTTGCAAGGGGAAAAAAAGAACATAAAAGAAAAAGAAAAAAATCCCAACCATTTACTGCAATACACAGAGACTGAAATCATCTATGGATGAATGTCCAAATCTTTATTTTCCCTGCAATCCAAACTCAGCACCAGTAAGCAATTAAGTCCAATTTTAAAAGCAGACAAAATTCATATTGCTCTGTTGCGCCTCTCATCAGCATTTGGACCACCTTCATATATACATAATTAGGTAGAAGAAATTAAGTTAATCTTTCTATCATGGATATGGGTTACATGACACAAAAACTTTGTAATTACTATGCAGATATACAAATATACAGATATACAGTTCTTGAAGTAAAGAACAAAGCTATAACCAATCCTATTAAATGTCCAGATCTAGTCTCCTAGCAAAGCTGAGACCAGGGTCCACCGTGGGTGAGTTCTCACCCATGAAGACATGTGGTTATTGCCCAAAGCAAGGCAATAGTCTTGTTATATTGAAATGAGGGACTATGAGGCCCCAAATACTCTCCTATGCAAAAAATACCCACACTGTCAGTTGCCAATCTGACATTCCCACCTCTCTTCATTCATTTCTCCAGAAATCAGGAAGACTCAATATGCCAGCACAGTAATCTAGAAGAATGAACTTATTATAACCTGCTAACCCGTTGTCATACATTCCCAGTATCTCTTATAGAAAGCTGGATCCTGTGGAATAGGACAGAGGAAAGAGTTTTGTTTTTTGTTTTCAGAGAGACCCTAGAGGTATAAAGAACTGATGTGAATGGCAGCCTTAGAGTTGTACAGCATATACCCATGGGTTTCACTGGATTGTCAACTCTGTGTCACTGGGGAAATAGGAGAATCAGATGAACTAAAGGATCAGAAAACATGCTGGTGGGTGCAAAGTAGGTGAAAGTGAAGCTTCAGTGACCTGTTCTGATTTCTTGTTCACATGCTTTGACATACAAAGTCTAGTGCAGTGTTCAAGAGTGTTAATAGCATAGCTAACTCTGGCCATCGGAAGATGAACTGAATGACACACATGGCTGTGAATTAAGGCAGAAATGTTAAAGAGGATTCTCTCCTACAAGTGCCAGTGAGACATACCTAAGGAGAGGAAAGGGTCTGTAGCCTGTAGCACTATTCGTGTAGATGATTCGAAAACTCTGGCAAAGGCCCTTTCACCCTTAAAGATTCCATGGAGAAGTCTTTCCAGGCGTTCCTGAAGTGTCCTGTCACAGCCCTGTCACCCAGTACCACTGAGTCTTAGACTGATCAATTTGTTTAAGTTGCTTAGGTTGTGGGATTATGCCCCTTCTGTGAACACTGGGCAAAACATGCAGGCACTTCTCATTGAGCCCTTTTTAAACTAATAGCTAAAAGGGTGCCTACAAAGAATTAAAGTCCTAGTGACTTTTTTACTTTCTCAAAAACTTGACCTAACAAATAAGCAAAGCACACAATTGCATAATTAGTCATTGGCTCCCATTTCAAGTCTCCAGGGAAGGCGATACATGTCATTTCTTTTTAGAGAAACAATGCCATCCATCCATCCATCCATCCATCCAATCCATCCATCCATCATTCATCTATCCATTCGTCCATCTACCCATCCAAGGAAGGGTAAGTAACTTCTGTTAACATGAAATGCTAGCAGATTGACCTGCATGCCCTGTGCTAATCAGCTCTCTACTCTTCCTTTTGGAAGCTGGCTGTCCTTAGATGTACATGTCTTCTGTTTCACTTCAGGGGTGATCTCTCATGAGTACTTTTCCCACAAGTATTTTTTTTGAGACAAGGGATCAAAGCTGTCCTGTTCTGGGTCTCATTATGCAAGACAATTTGGTTCCTGCACTAATCTTCTATCTTATTATCTGGGCTCCATCTTCTGTTCTATTTTCATGTTTTTCATGATTTAGAAATCAAGCAACAATGATACGTGATGGTTTCTCAATAAACTGAGTGGTATATTTGAATCTACAAAATTTGAATACTTACCTGTGATTGTAAATATTAAGGTATGACTGGGTTTTATTACAAGAAAAGGGGGAACGTCAAAGTTTTCTGGGGTCCAGTAGAAAGGGATTTCAAGATTACCAGAGATTCATAAAGATGAAATGAACAGTGTCTCAATCACCTGAGACTTTAGGAAGTTTTGTCATAGTCAGGAAGGGACCAGTGTGTCTGCAATCCCTTCTTGATGATGAAGGAGGCGATAGCAGTAGCTGCCCTTCTGTTGTTTAGAGCTCCCTATGGGCCAGATGCTTCACATGCACCTCTAGTTTGAACATGCCTTCCAGAGTTCATGCATCAGAGATCTAATTCCTAAATTCGTGTTAGTGTTTTTTGGGGGCTGGGGCATATGTGACATAATGAGGCTTACTTAGATGGGGTTGTGCGGATGAAGCCTTAGTGACAGTCAGCGTTAGTAACTTTGTAAGAAGAGAAAAAGAAAACTGAGCTGCTTGCTCTGTCTCTGTATGTAATGTACTTCATTATAGAGACATAAAATAGACTGAAACATATGCCTCACTGGATCCTAACAAGTTTGAAGCATAGGTGCTGATGCTTGTTATATAAATGAATAACCCGAAATTTAGAGAAACAATGTCATTTGCCAAAGGTCACACCAGTGATCAGGGGATGTAAAGAAACTTGAACCCATGGTCTCTCAACTCCCAATATCCTCTCAGGTGTGATCTAGAAATCCTTCCCTAGAATGGGGGAATGTACTTCAGTCCATAATCTCTATTCATGGTGACCCATGAAGAATGAACATAAGATTATTTTTACCCACTGCCTGTAGGAAATGACAAAGATATATGAGCAAATATATTTGGGGATCTTTCCTTTAGGCTTTTGATTCATTTTATAACTCTAAAACCATGAAGCTTATTGACTTGCCAGTCAATAGAATCAAACTAAAATTACTCATATGCACATGATGTGCTCTCTGGTGATGGGAGGAAAGGAGAAAAGAGCTCTGACATGTAGCTGATTTGCTGATGTGCTTGGTGTAAATAGTGTCCGCATGGCTAATCTCAATTTTTCCCATTTGAAAGCTCTTAACATGGAGTTGGAAAGAGATCCACAGAGTGCTGATTTCTGGAGAGGATTAACTAAGGGGAGACCTTCTCTGTATGTTGGTAGCATCCTTCCATAGGCTCAGATGGAATCAAAAGAAGGTAGCACAGGTTAGTCTGTCTTTTTCTGCTTCCTAGCCTCCATGATGTGAGCTGCTCTGCTCTGCCACTCCCTCCACAGCATGACGAGCTGAAACTGAGCAAACAAAACAAACAAACAAACAACAACAACAAAACAGACCCTTTACTCCCGTAAGTTGTTTATATCAGGTATTTTATACGATGAAAATCTGACTATAACATAGTGCTTTACATTTACCCAGCTTCACACCTGATCTTCACAGTAGCCTTGTCAGCAGTGTTTGGTAGATGAGAAACCAAAGCTCTGTATGTTTTTTCCAAAGTCCCACAGGGACTGGGGGAGAATAGAGTCTGGAGCTTGCCTCCCTCCCTCAAGTTTAGGTACTTTCATATATAAACTCATTACTTCCTACAGGGGGTAAGCTCAGGGCAATGCCATCATTGGTTCCTAAACTTGGGCATCACACGGTTCTGTTTATACACAGCTTCTAACTCTAGTTTAAAACAGATTGGTAGTTTTTGTCATTGCTTTTGCCTTTGTAATCTGATTTTCCTTTTTACATAGGTCAGTGTCTGTCTCCTGTCAATAGCATATTTTCAGTAGAAGGAATGCAGTAATTCCACAGCTTTTCATTACTCTTAAGTGCAGGGGAGGATGAATAATTGGCTTAAAAAGCACCAAAGTTGATTGTTTTCTCCCACATAATATACTTTAAATTCAGGTAAACTACTCTCATGTGACCAGCAAAGACATATGGAAAAATACTTGAGAATTCATGAAATGAG